TTTATTTATTCAAATATTCATCTTTCGATAAATTCAAATACGGAACTAAGTACTAAATTGTGAAACTTTTTCGTAGAATTATATACATTCGAAAATAGAATTGTAAGAAATTTGTCTACGAGAAATAATGGATATTTCTATAATGATGTACCATATGATTTTGTATGTAGATAAAAATAAAAAAAAAACATTTACATGTGGTGCTAAACGTTTTATTCTATATCACATTTTCTTAAAACGTTTTTACAAACTAGACGTTCTTATTTATGATATTATACTAGGATGTAAGTGAGTATACTACACTGATCGAAATAGTATATTGTTGTAAGTTCTACTAAAGATGAGATCAGTTTATATTATAAAAAAGTTAAGATGTTTAGAATAATTGTTAAATTTTATGTATTAAAGAATTTTTTATATTGTAACATTTCATTCATTAGAAACTAAGAGTATTTTCTATAAATAATTATATTAAATATTAGCATTTTATATAAACTTCTTTGTATTTTTTTATAGATAAGTTATAGAAATGATTGCACATTGTCTCTAAAATTTCTTTTTTGCATTATTACTAATTTAACAGTATGATAATAAGAAGAAACCTCATAGATTGTCATTGCGCATATGAATGACATACGAACAATCATCTTCCTATCTATGTGAATAGTATCTCTTAAGAATGAGAGTAATTATTGGTGTTTAAACAGAACACTTCATCCCTTATCTTAGTTAGTAAATTGCCTATACTGACATCTATGTTTTATTTAAAATAAGTATATCGCTATTATAATTAATGAATGTTTTTAAAGTTAAATTAATCATTTTTTTTTATCAATAAAACTTTTAAATAAAATAATTTTTTTCTAAAAAGAAAACTCCAATTGTTTTTTGTTTATATCAGTATTATTTTGATGATAAGTATGGGAGTCTAGGTAAAATATAAATGGCGATCAGACGATAAACTATGGAATTAAATCTCTTCTAATTAGAAACGAAGAAGAAATCATAATGTTTGTTCGATATACTTTTTTTTATTTAATATTGTTCTATTTTGTATTTTTTTTTAAATAAAATATCTAAAATCGATTCTATTCTCTATATTCTATTCTAGAAATAACATTTCCACCTTTATATCTTATTACCCCTCTGTTAATATAGAAGAATGAGCGTTGCGACGGCCGGTGCTGCCGTGAGCACGCAGCATCACCAACCAACTCAAGAACAAATTCGTCTTGCTCAATTAATTGACGATACAAAACATAATCAACCAGAAGTACAAGAAATAATTCGAAAAGTCCTTGACGTCGTAGAAAATTCCAATCAAGAAGATGCCCTTGTAGCACTATTTGATTGTGATTATGATTATGAAAAAGCTGTTGCATTGCTCATTGAAAAAGGTCATGATGTTGCAAGTGAATGGCGTACAGCAACAAGTCATAAATTAAGTAAAAAACAACAACAACAACAAAAAGTTGCTGCTACTAAAAATGGACATGAAGAGTCGAATGAGAATGGACAACAACGAGGAAATAGTAAATTGAATAAATGTAATATTTTTGTGAAAAAAAAATTATTTCGTTTTTTAGATACTTCAACTTCTCGAGGTAAATCTCGTGGTGGACGTGCAAGATTTCAACAGAACGGAGGTGATTCTCAAAATGTGAATAATCAACAGCAACCACAACAACAGCAAAACGATAATGATATTCCACAACAAAGACAACGAGGTGGTAGTGGATATCGTGGTCGTTATCGTGGTAATAATCGAGGTGGATTTCGTGGTAATGATAGAAATTATCAACAACAACAAAATCAACAACAAAACCAGCAACAAACACAAGATTCAAATGGTGATACATCATCACCGTCAGATACTACACGACGCAATAGAGGTGCTGCTGGCACTTCTAGACAAGAGCAATGGGATGTTGGTAATTGGAATGGTGAAACACTTATTATTTCAAGAACAAATAAAGATGATGAACAAACAATAGATACAGACGAGTCATCAGCTGGTATTAAGAAATTCTTTTCTTTTCTTTCTAATATTAATCTTTTATCTTGTAGTACAAAATGGTCAATCGGATAGAACTAATCAAGATAAATCTAAATCTGATTTTGATCCAATAGAAGCAGCTCGTCAGATTAAAAATGTTATTGGTATTGGTCAGACACCTAAAACATTAATAACAGATCAACATCAAAAATCGAAACCAACAGGTCAAACAATAAATACCAAAGTAACACCACCACCAACAACACCTCGAATTCCACATCAACCAGTTATATTCTCTGATCATTATGATGGTGGAGTGAATAAAATTGATGTACAATTTGGTAATCTAAGTGATACATATGATGAATCAGGATCATCAGCATTTTATCAACAAACAGACTCAGCATCATCGAACAAAATCTCTCAACGAACAACTGAACAGTCATCACATATTTCACCAGCAACTCGTCCATCTGAACAACCGGTTATGAATCAACAACGTATCCTATTAACTCAAATTCAACAACCATCTATGACTATAAAACCAGTTGTTACACCACAATATGCTGTACATCAACAACAGCATCAAGTAAATACACCAAATATGTTATTACAATCTTTACTTTTTCATCATCCACAACAACAACCAGAAGTAAATCCAAATAAACAACAAGCATTTCTTTTTAAAATTCATTAAATATGTTCTTTTTAGCCTGTAACATTAGATACACCATATGATCCAACAACATTTTCATTACCATCAATTGAATTCAATACACCATATTTTATGGCTGCAGCAATGAATCAACCACCACCACAACAACAAACTCAACCACGTTATTTAGTTTCTCAACAAGCACCTCCACAACAAACAACAACTAAAAATGCACAAACACCATCAGTATCAACATCAACATCATCGACAACTACGAAAAAAGCACCAGCTGTACCACCAGGAATATTTCCTCCTACAGCACAACCACCACCACTTACACAAGCAACCTATTCAACAGCATATGGAGTTCAACAACAAACAGGTGGACCAACATATTCAACACCATATGATGCTGAGCATTTATTTTCAAATGCATTTATGCCATTAACAAATGCACAACAAGCACAATCACCTTCAGGTGGATATGGATCTGTTACACCACCAGTTCCACAACAGAATCAACAACAACAACAAACAAATAATAATGACAATAAAACAATGAAGTATAAAAATATTAAAATAGGGAAAGACTAATTTTTAAAATAATCCTTCTCTTTCATTAGTTTTCGAGCACCAATAACAGAAAATCTTATGTTATTACAACAATATCAACAATATGCTCTTCAACAATCGACTAGTCAACAGCATGGTCAACAAGCAGCAACACATTCACCAGCACAATTAAATTATTTTCTTGGTCATCCACCAAGTGGATCAAGTTATTCACCTGGTACATTGCATGAAATAGTTTTTCCTCAGTTTATGTTCTATATGAATTGAAAATTTATTTTATCTAAACAATGAGAGTTTTGAAATAGTAGATATCTCTGGAAATAATTTTTACTATGACAAGGTTAATAAATATTTAATAGATTAATTAGTAAACAGATGTATGTACTACTTGAGTTTTCAGAAAAAGAAAAATATCCAGAAGATATTTACAGACATTATTAGCCAAATACTCCAATCCCGATTATTGAAATTAAAAACTATTCATGATCAAAGAAAGAATTGAAAATATGGATAAAATATATCTATGATTGAAAGAGAATAAATAGAGCAGAAAAAAAGAACGTAAATTACATTCGTTTAATTTATTAAAATTACGAATTGATCTGTAACATGGAAAATTTTTGACCTTGTATGAAGGTTAAAAATAGATTGAATGAATCATTAAAGTTAATTCATCATATAAATCTATATCTAGATCACCTTTACGATTGATATAGAATGCATACCTCTTAGATCAATATCATCATAATTCAAAATTGTCTTTTATTACATTAACTTATCATAACTATATAGATAAATAGTTAATTATCGATATAGATCAAAATGCAACTAGAAAGAAAACGTAATTAGATGTTTACTGATGATCGATCTTCGTATAAGATCGTAAGCTCATATATCTTTGTTTGGTCTCTGTTGATATTGATAATATATATATTATGATATTCTCTATTTCTTTTTAAGGTCCTCAAATTATGTATGCTCCAGCACCTACAGCAATGACTCAACAACAACAACAGCAACAAGCACCAAAGCAACAAGGACAACAATATAATCAAAATAATTCATCAGCAGGTATTGGGGGTAATGATGATTATTATCATGGTCGTGGTTCATCATCATCGAATAAAGAAGGACAATATATGTATCAACAACCTAATCAACCACAACATGTTCCACAACAATCTGCAGGTCAACAACAAGGTGTGAATAAACAACAACAGCAACAACAACAACGTACTAGTGGTAATGTTTATAATAATCAACAAGGTCAACAACGTCCATTTCAATAAAAATAAACGACTTATCGAACATTTTTTTTTCTTTTTCTTTCACTATTGCTGCTATTATTACTAACGTGTGCGTGTGTCTCTAACTTGTAACTGTGATTTGATCCTTATTCTCACATTGGGCACAGCCCATTTCTATCCGTTAATCTTGTCGTTTATTGCTGCTGCATCGTTTTTTTTACATTAAGTTTGCATTACTCTCTGTCTCATATAAACATATAAAACGCCTTATTGTCGTTCATTCGGTTTTTTTTCTTTTTTTTTCTATGTAAATCCAGACTTCTTTCGTCGTTCTCTTCTGTTGGACTGTTTAGGTTTTCATCTTTTTTTTTCTTTTTTTCTAAACGTGAACATGAAACAAACAAAAAGAACTTTAACAATGACTTCTTTTTTTTTCGTTTATTTGTTTTTTTTAGACAAAAACTTTTCATTTTTTCTTCCTTATTTTATTTGGACCCGAACACTTATTGTTTGGGTCTTTATATAGACTATGCCTAGCAGAGATTCAAAACGTAATCAACATGATAATTATAATACATATGGGTAAGAAAACATTTGTCATTGAATGAACGATTAATTAATAAGAAAAAAATGAATTATTTAGATATGCCAATCAACGAGGCGGCGGCGGCGGCGGCGGTGGTGCACCACGGAATCATGTAGTACCAACTGAACCTCCGTTTACAGCTTATATTGGTAATGCACCTGATACAATGGTTCAAGGTGATTTTGAAAATCATTTATTTGTTGGATTAAAAATTAAACAAGTTCGATTAGTACGTGATCGACAAACTGATCGATTCCGAGGTAATAGAATTTTGTATATATTTCTGATTGAAATTATTTTTGATTTAATTTAAAGGTTTTGCTTATGTTGATTTTGACGATGCAGAATCATTACGTCGTGCTATTGAATTAGATGGAACAGTATGTAAATAAAAGAAGAAATACAAAAATTTTCTATGAAATATTTATTTTAGTGTATTAATGATCGTTCAATTCGTATTGATGTTGCGGCTCGACCATTAGGTGCAATAAAATCTGAAGGATTTCGAAATAAACGTAATTATTTAATTCTCATATTTCTATCGTATAGAGTGAATATCCCTATCCGAAAAAGAATTATATTACCAAATGTCAACTATAGAAGTTTATTCGAAATATATAAATATTGTGGAGACATTCTCATATGACTGTCATAAGAGTTTTTAGTATTGTATTGATACCATTTGACTTGTTCGTATCATAAAGTACATAATAAGTTGAATTTTAGTGATTTTTATCTAATCTAGAGCGCTATTAAATACCAATGGATTGATATGATAGTCATAGAGATGCACACGAGAGATATTAATATGCAGTATTGACATTTAGTATATGCTGTCCCAGTATGTGATCTAATTACACATCTACAAAGTTAAGAATCCAGTATTTCTTTGATCTTTACTTATCATACAAATCTTGCTTGAAGTTGTATTTCAATGAGAGAAATGTATGGCTATTCTATTAATGACACAGCATATACTAAAAGTTACAACAGTAATACTTCAATATCCTATAGTACATTTAGAAAGTTTACATTCAACATAAACTGTGACTAAAGCCCTTGTAGTATATTGGCTTAATATTTAATTATTGATCAATTTATAATACGATAATAAAATTTCGATTAGAAAAAAGACAAATGTTTTTGTCAATAAATTCAATAGAAAACTATATTTTTCACTGTTGGAAAAAGGAAATGAAGCTAAATCGAATAGTATATGATATGATTTTCAATTAGTCAACTCGTTGAAGACGGATGACGCATATATACGTCATCGATCTAGAAGTTATTTAGTTCTCTAGATATCAGCTATCTATGTATCGTTTTGTCTCATATTGCAGATTATATACATACTTGCAATAGATCTCGATTGATAAATGAAATTAATTATCAGTTATTTCAAAAAAATAAACCCGCCGTCAAAACTTTAAAGAAAATATCTTATTATTTCTAAAATTTACTTACATATATTTTTTTGACATTATAATTTATGTAGCTGTCATTTGTCGTAGGAAACAGTTTCTTATTAAAATTCTATTAGTAGTTGAATATAATTAAAATATCACTGGAACGTAGAACACTTCCTTTACTAACAGTGAACATTGAATGAAGTCTCTTATTAATCTTATTATACGATATTGAAGAATTACTTCTGGTATGACGTTAGCAGAAGATAAGAACATTCTTATTTTTTTATAAATATATAAACCAAGTAAAATAGAAATAACCATAGCTTTTCATTCTCTCTACATAAGAAATTTTAATATATATATTTATTTTTCTAGCTGGTTTTGAATCACGTGATGGTCGTCGTCATCCATCGGGAAATAGTAATAATGGATTACATCAAGGTGGCCGAAATACTAATAATTATCGTCAACAAGAAGTTTCCGAAAATGTCGAAGAAGGTTATACTGATGGTAAGATTATAACGATCTATTAATTTTTTATTATTGTTCTATTGTAGGATATTATACTGAACGTCCACGTCGTACATCAGGTTCAGGTAGAACTAATGAACGTCGTAATAGTCATACTCAACAGAATAAAACTCCACCACGTAAAGCTTCGAATGATGATGTTTTTGTTGCACCTGATACTCCAACATCGAATGAAGATGGTACTGATCATGGAAGTACAACAATAGTTCGACAACAAAGCCGTAATTGGGCTGATTGCCCAATTGATGAAACTGTTACTGAACCATCACCACCACCAAGTGCTACTAATGCATATGGCGGTGATGATTTTC